TGATCCATGCGATCAGCTTGCTAGTTCTAGAAGAAAATAAAGGAAGTACTACATTCTCAAACCAATTAGCCAGCAAGTTCATCAATTCTCCAAAAGGTCAAATACAACACAGCTAGTAGAAATTAACTCCTTTCTCTGTATTAGCAATATGAATCTTAGATCGAGTTGCTTAGCGTTTGATATCTTTCTCATTTGATATTTAGCGATTTCCAACTATATATTACACATAACAGTTATATATCTTATAATCCAACAAAGGAAAAGAAACAAAAAAACAAAAAACAAAAACAAGAACAAAAGAGAGATTGAGGTTGATCTTTAGTAATTGATCTAGTGATGCAGGGTTATATATATTTCTTATGTTCATGAGTACTCGGATTAATAAAAGTATTGTCGTTGGTTTCTTGTGAGGTATGGTTAGTTTAAATAAGCATTAACGTTCATCTTATCTTTCCCCACATGATCACATGATTTGGAGCGATACGTCCATCTCGAGATTTTTGCTTAATTTGATTTAATTTCATAAATTAATGAAAAAGTGCGACAGTACTGTAATTCAATCATTATCGTAAAAGTAAAACTTTACAACAAGATATTTTTACTACAATTATCGTAAAACGTTTCAATCAAGATAGACAAAGAAATTAGGGTAAAATGCCGGACTGTCTGGATTAGACCTAAAAATTTTTTGGTCGTTACAGTTTGAGAGCTACAACATGAAGCTATCTAGAAGAGAGAATTATGAAGATACTAGAGATCTTATCAATAGTGGATTTGAATGAGATTCTCTTGACTTTATTTAAAGGCTTTGTTTCAGAGATTTGTGATATGGGTTTAATAGAATATTTTTAGAAAAAAGTCTGTGAGTTTTTGTGAGCCTTGTACGTTATTGAGATCGTCCTTCAGGAGAGGGATTTGTTGCTTTCGGGAGGAAGCTCTATCGGTCGAAGGGAGTTCACCGTGCAGACTAGAAAATGTGTGGTGCATGCCAAATAATCACTGTGGAGATTCGTCACAGCGGCGTCATTGTCTAGGATGAAGTCCTTGAGTGAATAAGTCCGTCCGGTGTCTGTAATTTCTCAAACATAGTGAATTATTTAATGTCTGAGTGTGGCCCTCCAGATGTAGGTGTGAGCACTGAACTGTAATATCATATTGTGTGTTTATTTACTCTCTGCATTTTATTCTGCTTGAGCAACTATACGTAATTAACCCGGATCTTAATTAATTAAGCCGTGTTCTAGATAGTGTTCCAACGTCATCTGGAACACCAGACAAAATATCAAATCTAACAAAACTGAATGTTTTCCCGTCCAGGATCGCGTGATGCATCAAGATTCCTACCGAAAACCAGCAATTAGGAAACTCGGTGACTTGTATTGCCGAAACCGCGGCTCGTTCATGGGAGACAGACAAGTTGGGGACTATACAACGATATTCCACGGCCTTACATAAGATGTTATCATCATTAGTGCCTAAGACATTGTCTAGGATGGAGTCCTTGAGTGAATAGTCTGTCCGGTGTCTGTAATTTCTCAAACATAGTGAATTATTTAATGTCTGAGTGTGGCCCTCCAGATGTAGGTGTGAGCACTGAACTGTAATATCATATTGTGTGTTTATTTACTCTCTGCATTTTATTCTGCTTGAGCAACTATACGTAATTAACCCGGATCTTAATTAATTAAGCCGTGTTCTAGATAGTGTTCCAACGTCATCTGGAACACCAGACAAAATATCAAATCTAACAAAACTGAATGTTTTCCCGTCCAGGATCGCGTGATGCATCAAGATTCCTACCGAAAACCAGCAATTAGGAAACTCGGTGACTTGTATTGCCGAAACCGCGGCTCGTTCATGGGAGACAGACAAGTTGGGGACTATACAACGATATTCCACGGCCTTACATAAGATGTTATCATCATTAGTGCCTAAGAGCTGATAGAAATCGGCATTGGACTTGGCCACGGTAAGCGAGACCGTGTCGCCTATGGCGTACTCGAAGATGGGCTTAGGGGAAGTGGGAGGACAAGTGAGGTTTCCGGCAAGGGGAAGGAAATGTTGGAGAGAGTGAGAAATAAGGATTGTTTTAGTCTTGGGACGATATGGGAGTGAAAGTAGTTTGTGGTATTTGGAATTTGGATTGAGATTTCATAAAAGAAAAGACGTTCCGTGGGTGGTAACTTTACCCAACGCATGTCAAAGAAAGAAAGAGGAAGAGACATTGGTGTAGTTGAGGCTGTCGGTGGAGGAGTCACCATGCATACCTCAAATATCTGCACCATGTTTGGCTGTGCCATTAATTAATGCCTGTTGATAACGGCCATACTTGTTTGGCCTTTTCTCAAGAAATTTAAAGAGCTCCACGGCAAAGAAAGAGATAATGCCAAATATAATAAGACGATTCCTCATATCTATATGTATAGAATATAAGTATAATTTTTTCCCATTTATTAATTAGGACACTGTCATTAAATAAGTTGGTTTCTTTTTCATAAACTAATATAAATTGTGTAATGCATGTACGTAGAATAAAAATTAGCTGGCCATGTCCTGTCTAATTCACTCATTATAATAAAAAATAGATTAGAACAAGCCATCAGAGTATTTCAAATCTCCGGCTTAAATAAAGTAAGACATATAACTGACAAATTAAAAGATGTCATTGATTTATTTTCATAAAATAATGGGAAGGTGGTATGCGTGTAGGGAAATAATCAAAAGTTGTCTGGCGAGATTCAGGCATTATTGTAAAACAAAGATTAATATATTATGCGCATTAATTTCAACTATTTCCACAGTATTTGTTTGTTGTGTCATTATTTGTTGGTGGATACGGCCATGTTCTTTTTTTTTTTTTTTAGCTTTTCTACATTTTTTCTCTTTTTTCTCTTTTTTTTTCTTTTTTTTTTGTCTACTCTTTTTACATTTTTATATTTTGCTATATTATATATACATTTTGTCATATTATCTTTTTTAACTTTCTCAAAAAATTTTCTACCCTTTTTACATTTTGTCTAAGAAATGCACCGAACGTAGCCCTGCTCTGAAATGCACCACTTCAATGCTCCAACATGGCGGCGACACCAAGTCAACACCACGACATTGGCTAATCTGCTCAATTTGCTCCTTTTGAGCCACGGCGGTACATTCTTGGTCAAGTTTAGTTTTGCCTCATTCAAATGCCGTAGTCATGGCCTGTTGATACCGTCGCGCTCACAATCCTCTCGATCAATTCAAGCCATTTTTGTCTCTGATTCACTCCAAATCAATCTTAAGTGCTATTTCTTTGCTAATCTACAAAATAAACATAAAATCAAACGTAAATCCAACATTTATTTTAATCGCATTCAACTCCTAATCGAGCCTCCACGTCACCGACTCCCGCTCGGGGGGGTGGTGTGACAAGAATTTTCTGATTTTTAACTTATAACTTGTTATTCCATATTTATATTAGCAAATACTTATCATAAAAGTATTCATATTAATGATACAAAAGATTTCAAAAAATTTTATCTTATACAATAATTTTGATAAATTTCTCGGTCATGACACCAAATAAGCCGTGGGGCCTGCAGGCTCTTTTTCGCCCACACTGACTTGCCTGCCTAGTCAGTGTGGTGCACATGCAAGAAGCTAGCGTGTGATATAATATTGTACCCATCAAAGTACAAGGCATGTGATGTGGGCACGCAACGGGCATTGCAGCCCCTGCGCTTGGCCACATTTGTTGCTAGTGCTGTAAGAAATCACCCTGAACCCAACGAACCTGGTCGAGCCTAACTAATCCTACCTGAAAATCACACGTTTTCAATTTTTTTATTTAATTTTCAGTTTTACTTATGCCCAACATGTACTGTGCGGGTAGGAGCACGGGGTGGGATTCTAAGAACCCGAGGTACCCTGATCCTGAACCTGTTGAAAAAGTAAGCAAAACAATGCACAACCCTAATGTTTCTCACTCTCTCTAAAAGGTAACCTTGCCGAGCCAGCTTGGTAATCTGTTTTTTTTTTCCAACTTTAACATAAAAGGTAACAAAACAAATTTTCAAAACTGAGAATGGGCCAGGCTTAATAGAGGGCCCAACATGGCCTATGATTGGCTCAACCGTAAAGACCAACCCGCAGTATCTTGCTAAGTCGACCCTACCCGAGGTACCCCGATCCTGAACCTATTGAAAAAGTAAGTAAAACAATGGACAACCCTAATTTTTCTCACTCTCTCTCAAAGGTAACCTTGCTGAGCCAGCTTGGTAATCTATTTTTTTTTCCAACTTTAACATAAAAGGTAACAAAACAAATTTTCAAAACTGAGAATGGGCCAGGCTTAATAGAGGGCCCAACATGGCCTGAGATTGGCTCAACCGTAAAGCCCAACATGCAGTATCTTACAGAGTCGACCCTACCTGAGGTAACTCGATGGTGTACGAGGTTTTGGTCCCTACTGCCTGTTGCGGCCTGGCAAATTCCCAGCCTGATATTTGTGGCTCGGCCCAAATTTTGGCCACACCCGAGCCTACCCAGCTGATTTACACCTCTATTTGTTGCAATAGTGGGAAGCCAAAGGCCAAACCGGGGTTGGCCTATTCTTGCAGATTTTTTAACGTTTTGACCTATATGTAGAAATATCTACATTTTAATATTTAAGACATGAGAGATCATTTAAGGACATTAGAGGAAATTTTTCCAAGCCCAAGAAAATCTATCTTAATTATCTTAAGAAATAATAAAGTAGAATTAATTGTCAAAATCCTATAGGATTTAAAGAAACAAAATATCTTGATTGACATTGATAATCATGACGCCGATAATCACTGCAATTCACCTGGAATATTAAAAGAGGGATTATATTCTCATCCTATTTCAAGAAGAAAAATGATCTTCAATTTTTTTTTTTTTTCAAGTCTTGATTCTTCAAGAGTATTCTCATCGTATCCAAAATAAAATTACAGTGATGACTACTAATTGTACAATAAAATTATAGTTTTTTTTTTTTTTGGCCCCGAAACAAACAAAAAAGAAAGAGGGATTCCTTAACCCCAGTTACTTAACCACTGTTGCTCCTTATTAGAGATTCAAGACCCTCAGCAAACAAAGAAGCGCAAGCTTCCATATGATGTTTTAACAAAACCAATCCGATCTCAATTCCCCCCTCCCCATTTCGATTTTCTGACAGACATATTGCTCCCGTTCCATCTATGGAAACAACATCCACCTCTCTCGGCTTTCCCCATCCAAAATCTGTATCGTAAACCTCAAACCGAGGCGATGATGCAACGGAATACTGTCTTGGGAATGTCTTCACTGCGTTAATAGACGACGCAACCCAATTCTCAGCTCCATCTAGAGGTCCCTCATTCAAGCCTTTTATAGCTTCACTTATTGCGTTTACAGCTACAAAAAGTCCTTCTTTTCCCAACAGGGCTTCTCTTTCAACGACGATGACATTTTCGCCAACGCAGTTTCCAAAATATGTCGCTGGTATTGGAGGCTCCAAGCGAGACCTTAAATCCATGGCGAATGTAAAGGGTATTTCGTTGTCGCTTATTTCTTCTGCTTTAACTAAACAAATCCAAGTATAGGCGCACGTTACTAAAAATGTGGACGCACGAATTGGACAGTGTTTTTGATCATTTACCAATTGCTTTAGCTTTTCTATTTTCGCTCGTGGCAATTGGAAGGTTCCTCGAACTGAATCCGGTTGAACTGTATACGATCCTTTCCAAGGCAATAAACTTCTATTATCGGGTCCGTCCATATTTTGCCACCGATTTGATAAGAACGTTCCAACATCGGCAGGGTCTTTGATATGAGTTCTGTCGTAAACTGGTGTTAGCTCCGGCGGTAATTGATCATGATGAACATCACCACTATGATCTCCTGATCCAAGTGATCTGCATATGTGGGCCCATGATTTCATAAACAAGTGAAAACTTTTTCCGTCGAGGACCGCGTGATGCATGGTGATCCCAATGGAAAACCCGTGGTCCGGGAAGTCGGTGACTTGAATCGCCAAAACCGCGACTCGCTCATGGGATGCTGACAACTTGGGGATCAGAGAACGGTGATCCGCGGCTTTGCAGAAGACGTCGTTGGTGCCTGAGAGGCGGTAGAAATCGGCCGTGGATTTGGCCACGGTCAGCGAAACGGCGTCGCTTTCCGAGTATTCGACGCCGGGATTTGGGGAAGTTGGAGGCCATGTTAGGTTCCCGGTGATAGGGAGGAAGTGGAGGAGGGTGAGAGACAAAGAGTGTTTGAGTCTCGGAAGAATGGATTTGAAGAAAAAATTAGAAGATTTATTAATGTTTGGGGTTGGGATTTCGTAGAAAAAGAGATGTTCGTATGGTGGGAAACGTAACCATCTAATGTCGAAGAAAGTGAGAGGAAGAGACTTCGGGGATGGATTGACTGTAGGTGGAGGAGCCACCATGCAAACCTCAACTATTTCCACTTCAATTGGTTCTGCCATTAATTTGATTTGCTGGTTGATAGCTCTCGACAAAGCAAAAGATAAAATTAAAGGAGATAAGACGATTCTCCTAATTTTAGTTAAAAAGAAAGACCGTTCTTCCGAAGAAGTGTGTTTGTTTTCCGTCTACTTGCTAAACTTTTTAGTATGTAAAATAAAGATTAATATAGGCCGTTCTTTAATCAGGTTTAATATGTATAGAAGAAGTGTGTTTGTTTTCCGTTTACTTGCTAAGCTTTTTAGTATGTAAAATAAAGATTAATATAGGCCGTTCTTTAATCAGGTGACGGACCTGACACCGCACCCATCTGGCTGCTTTGGGTTCGGTGAAATGAGTGAGAAAAGGGAGGTTGTTGGGCACGTGTTACGGAGGGAAATGTCATTCCGGTTGATGTCAGATAGACATCTTAAGTCAAAATGTATTAAGAGAAATGTTATGTTACTTTCTTCGCTGTTTCGCTGTTTTCGAGGCGGACTTCATTATTTAAATATAGATATATTATATTAGTGGATTGAAACAGTGGATATTGAGAACGACGAAAAGAGTGCTGACTTCAAAAATTGAATGAAGATGATAAAATGGGTAAAATTATTAGCCCGTTTAGTTTATTGATTTAAATTTTTAATTTGAGTTAAAATGTGATTTTATATGAGAGTTTTTTACTGTAATAAAAAAGTTAGATGTGACTATTTTTGAGGATTTTTTACTATAACAAAATTTAAATTCTAAACTCAAATTGATGAAATGAACGGGACCATAATGACTCATTCCTGACTTTTTCTTTTTACACAACTGCGATGAGAGCCTCAATCACGCATATAGTTCATGATTTTTCTTTTTTATACAACTTTTAAAGCATCATTTTGCAGTATTTCGAGGAATTAATTGAATTTAAGGGTGCAAATATTGAAATATAAACCTCATTCTCACATACTCAGCAAAAGCAAAAGGCAGGTCATTAATGATCTTAGCACATATAATCAATTACGAAACTTTTTAGAATCAAATTTACCCCCACCAAATAACACTGCACCGGCATCTTCGGCAATGAACGTTTGCCCCATATCACGTAAGTGATTTTTAAACAAGTCTTAAGATGGCGTTTTAGATTATCAGTTATATATCTGCTAGATACACTTCATCACATTTTGTAATTGGCCTTTAGTTTCTTGTCTGCATTCAAAGGAAGATAATCAAAGTAATTCTAGACGTTCGAGGTCAACTTCCTTTTTCTTTTGGGCCTTGCTAGATTTGGGTTTTGTTAGGTAAGTTACTTAAATTAGGAGAGAAAGAAAAAAATATGTCAAGACTTGAGATAAATTAAAATTAATAGGCCAAAAGTTTATATAAATTAATAAATGGCCAAATTACTGTTTTCGTCCATAACTTGTCCGGTTATGAACCACAACTTGACAAGTTATTATCCATAAATCACGGTTTTTGTCCATAACTTGTCTGGCTATGAACCATAACTTGACAAGTTTGTCTATAACTTATCTAGTTATGAACCATAACTTGACAAGTTATAGCCTATTAATTTCTATAACTAAAAGTTGGCCTATATACTTCCTTAAGCTTTTCATATTTGTCTATTTTCTACTATTTCCGTTAAATTAGTTTTAAAAAAGTTAATATTTTGTGTTTTTTTGGGTAAGTTACTATTTTTTATTTTCAAGTAAGGGTTATTTTATGGCTCATTAGGAGTTTATAAATATGTGATTTGTGCAAGGTTTTATGTGTATTAAGAGAAAAGTGTCTCTTTTTGAGAGAAAAGAGAGAGTGCGGAAAGAGATAGACAAAAGGTATAAAAGAGTTTTGAATAGAGAGAGAGTGAGAAAGTTTGTTGAGTGTGTAATTCTGAAACTTTTAGTGAAATTTTTCTCCATCTCCTATGGATATAAGCAATTTTGCCGAACCAAGTGAATTTTTGTCTTCTCTGGTTTTTTTTTTTTTTTTTTTTTTTTTGGTTGTTGCTGCTGCATGTGTGTGGGGGTGTATTTTTCCTGACAGGTATTGACACTTATCTATAACTTCACTTGATGTGAAAATCATTCGCTTGTGCTCATTTTTTGATGTGAAATTGAACCCTTTAAAATTGGTATTCCTCTGGTTGACCTTTGGGTTGGCCCATATTCTATAGGGCCTACAAGAAATACTTGGGCTTGCCACTACGCGCGCCGATTACAGTTACATTTGGCATAAGTACGAACGCCATTGCTGAAAAGATAACAATAAAACTCGCTTAACAAACAGATTTGGGGTGGATATATGTATTATTTTCAATGTTTAACGACTACGTATTTTTACTTTTTTAGATGAAATAGGTTCCCAAGTTCCCATAATTTTCAAATCACTTGCTCGGATCTTGTGTCCAAATGTACAGTCAAATTCTGAACAAGCTAACGGGCTCCGAAAGAAATTTAAAAGGCATACGTTCAATACATATATAGGTTGTCAATTAATTAAGTTGAAGTCATGTGACAGATGGTCAAGCCAAAAATGAGAATTCATTCCTTTCATTAGCAATCCATTTACTGGAGACATAGTTACCCATTGTGATACAAAGTCGGTATTATTGCTTTTTTTTTGTTTTTTTTTTTTTTTTTTTGTGTGTGTGTGGATAAAGGGGGTTTATGCAGAGTAATTAAGATGTGTTTTGATATCTTGGCGTCGGCATGCCGCGTATTTATCGAACTTGGGCATTGGAGCATTTAAACTTGTCACATTATATTAGAGTCATGTGTGAAATTATCGTTACGGCTATGGTTGCAACTGTAATATAGTTGAGATTATTTAATTGCATGTTGTATGAAGATCAATGTCGTCAATGTTACACGAGATATATAGATATACTTTTTTCACTAGATGACATAAACAATATTCAACTAATTTTAGATTAACAATATTTAAATTTTCAGACAGACCAATATTGGCCGAGTTAATTATCAAAAAAATATATATATATATTACCCTAGTTAATTTTTTTCATACTGCCATTAAAAAAGAAAAGATTCGTTAAAGTATAACTGGAATTAGATTCTTCGAAGTTCGAACGATAGTACTATACCTGACTAGAGTATGATGATGATTAAGGCTGGAGGTTATAAATATTATAAATAGAACAGGTTTGTATAATTAGTTTTATTGCGAGCTATAGGTTGATATTATTAGTTTTATTGTGGGCTAGGGTTCATTAAGAACTCAAGCTTTTCCATAAATATCACTAAACCAGTTCCTCTTCCAAGCTATTATTGAGTACTACTTAACAGTACTGTAAAAAGAATAGCAATATTGCTGAATCTCTACTTTGCTACGATATTTAATTATAGATATACGCCCCCGAATTATATCTATATATGTATATGCAACTGGATGGGATAGGATGATGTGATAATTCACCGTGCACGCTGCTGTTTGCATCAATATAGGCCCATGAAAGGTTTTTTTTTTTTTGATTTGGCATATATATGTTTTGCGCATGCGTATGTGTTTTTGTTGTGTCGGCTCTTTTCTTTTTCTTCTTTACGTTTTCTTAACGCTTTTTAACAGTTAGATCCAACATGTATAACGCTTTATATATATAGGTTGCTTCTTGTATATGCTTTCTTTTTGCCCTTTTGCTCACAATCTTTTAAGTTTTTGTTTGGATTTTCAGGGAATTCATTGATTAGTCAATATCGCGAGAGAATGCACTAGATCAAGAATATTTGTGCAGATAGATTGATCAGCTTACTTAATTTGGTAGTGGTACAGATATGGCAGTAGAATTAATTTACTGACTCTTGTTTACTACATATATATACTAATTCAAATGAAGAAATTTTCTGACAATAATGATATAAATTTCATTATTCGTATCATTTCCACTTAAAGATAATTAATAATTTGATGCAAAAGTTGTTACATCGATAAAATAAACCAAAAAAAAAAAATCTAATACTATGGCACTTATGACACGGTAAAGGAGTCGGATATGTGAAATTGATGGGTCCAAAACATGTGAAATTTTTATTAGTATATTGATTGCAGTCCACCAACCGAGCCTAAAAGAAGATCATCTACCAGCTTACAGTCACCTTCACACTCTCATTATCATCTGTGTATCTATCTATCATTCTCATTATGACTAATTTAAAGCTGCAGAGAGTGACTGATCAGCTTCTAGGAATTGTACTACTGAAGAAAGGATAATTAGAATGTCAAAAGCCTCATTAGTTTTCAGTTCTGAATTTTTACAGTTAAAAATTTTTAAAAAAATATCACATTTAATTTTTTCAATTACAATTAAAAATTTTTAAAAAATATCACATCTCAACTCGAATTAAAAACTTAAATTTTTGAAACGAACTAGTTATATGCTAGTTAAAACAGTATACACAGAAAAGACAAATGGACAATCAATAAATGTGGCAAAGAATTGCAGAGAAAAGCAGATCCCCTCATTTCCCGGGACACAAATCCAATTTTCTCTAGCTCTTTATAAGCGGCAACTGGGAATATATATTCTTCTGGTAAGAGGGATTGTGCTTCAATCAGTTGCTACTAATAAGGAATTTCGATATTATGATCTGTATTTTTCATACGCGTATATAACACATGCCAGATATGATCAGACTCGATTTGGGATCAATTTAGGGGTTTATACACATACATACATATATATATATGTATGTATGTATATATTCCCTAAATCGTGATCTAAAGTGTCAATTGAACAAACAAACCTCAACGAGCGGTTATTGCCACATATTCTTAACTTTAAAGCCATTCAAAACTTTGGCTCTTTTTTTTTTAATTTTTTTTTTCTGAAGCACTAATAAGTGCCCCTTTACTCCTATTTTTGTCGGCAATATTTCTTTTATACACACACACATATATATATATATATATATATATTGTGTGTGTGTGTGTGTGTATTTGAAACTCCGGACATATAGGTACAAGTCTTTCTAGAGGATCTCTTGTTGGTTAATAATTTCATATTTTCTTCCGATTTAAAAGACGTATTGTGGCTTTTTAAAAAAAAATAATAAACTGAGATAAAAAATAACTGGTATGAAAGATGATTAAAGACGTAATGTGCCTTTAAATGTAGCATATATGGTTCCTTTTCGCCCC